TGGGGGGGGCTGCGGCGCCCAGGCGGGGAAAGTGGCCGGTCCTATGTTCAGCGCTTTCCGGACAGATGAGGGACGTCCTTTGCCCCAGGTTGATCAGCGCCGAAAACCAAGAGCCAGACTGTTGGAAATCAATGTTAACGCCTCAAATCCCACTTCGCAGCAAAAAGAAAGCCAGCGCGGTTTTTAAAACTCGGGTTCAATGGGGGGGGCTGCGGCGCCCAGGCGGGGAAAGTGGCCGGTCCTATGTTCAGCGCTTTCCGGACAGATGAGGGACGTCCTTTGCCCCAGGTTGATCAGCGCCGAAAACCAAGAGCCAGACTGTTGGAAATCAATGTTAACGCCTCAAATCCCACTTCGCAGCAAAAAGAAAGCCAGCGCGGTTTTTAAAACTCGGGTTCAATGCTGTGCAAGCGAGTCTGGGGGGTGGAAAGCCCCATCCCAGTGCATTGCAGGAATGTCATCTGCAGGTAACAGTAATTTGGGCCCCTCTAGCAATTGAACGTGTTGCAGCAATGCTTTCCCTCACAGACTTGCCTTTTTGGAGGTGAGGGTGTGATCGAAAGCTAAGAGCTTTTGGTCATTGATACCTGCGCAGTTGGGAATCTAGAGTAGCTATGAATCATCAACAGCACTGGAAAGGGGGTGGGCAAATTCCCGCAGGCATGAATAATAATAGTTGATAACAGCAATCTTCTCTACATTTCCTCTCCATTCACTCATCATTTCTGAAATGAGCTTTAGCCGATGTAAACTTAGTACAGACTCACTTATGCCTTTGAAAGGTTACATCGTTTATTTTAATATATTGGACCTTTTATCTCAACTGGAGTCACTAGAACAGAAAAAAAATCCTTAAAGTTGAATCTCTGACATAACTGACATTAGACAGCTAAAACAAACCCTTCTTACCCGAAGAATAATCCTGACTTTTGCCACATTTTATATTAATTATGACCAGAATTAAACACTTTTACTGATATTTACATATTTCAGTATGTTACACAGTGAAAACCAAAACATTTGTGTTAGCCCTTATCGGCCTCATTGATGGGTGATGAGGCATTCCTTTAGCACAGCTGGCACTTCCTGATGCATTCATTCTTTATCAACACAGGTTACCTTACAAAAGGCACTATACTCTATAAAAATGCAAAAGCTCTTGCATAGTGAGGATCTTATCTGTTCAAGAAATTGGAACCCTGGAATTGTCTGCCCTAGTTATAACAAAAAAAAAAAACTTTTAAAAACAAGGAATAGCCTAGTAGCACATTAAAGACTAACAAAACATGTACATGGTATCATGAGCTTTTTTGGGCATAACCCACTTCAGATGACTGGAGGAGTGGGTTATGCCCACGAAAGCTCATGTTATCATCGACGTGTTTTGTTATTCTTTAAGGTGCTACTAGACTATTCCTTGTTTAACTTTTTCTAATTACAGACTAATTTGGCTAACCCTCTGAAGCTAGTTATAACAGTTACCTTTTTAATATTAATGGAATTATGTTAATAGGGTCCTGAGTTTTGGAAGGAGAAAAGTATGTATGTCACTCAGTACTCGGAGTAAGTTTTCTTGTAGGGAGGTTTCCTGACTAAATGGTTGATTTGTAAGAATGTCTGGTGTGTCTTTCGTAGGAGGGATATTCTCATTCTTTTATGGAAAGTTAAGATACCAAAGGTGTAGTGCAATATTCAAAAAATGCAATCAATATGCTATCCCAGTGTAACTACTGATTTGTTCAGCAAGTCTATCAAGTTTCTCTCTGGATGCTGAATGGTATCTGAAGGATATACAACTAAGCCAGCCTGAGTTGGATAGTTAATGTTTGGGTTCTGTGTGTCCGCATAAAATGACTGTAGAATGTAAAAAAAACCAGGAAGGTTTGATTAACTTGCATGCATAAAAATGTAAATTACTAAAAGCACATTTTAAAAGATGTATAAAAATGCTGTTCTCATTCACTTTTTGGTGAATGTTTACCACATTCATGGATAGCAATTGCATCTTAGTACTGATATGTACTAGCATTGAGTGCACACTTCTAAAATAGATATTCATAGGCTGGTTTGGAAAACATGGTATGGGATTGTTTAATGTAGAAACTGATATGAGAAACACGAACTTTTGTTCTCACTTCTGTTATGGCAGCAATTTTTAAAGCTCTGGAAATGTACAATAATAATTGGAATTTTATAGTGCATACAGCTGGTTCCTGATAGACTTAACAACAATGCACTGTTTATTGAAAATTGCTGAAATATGGTACTATTAACTGACTCTTAAATGTACACTGTCAAGTAATTTGTTACTTGTGTAACAGTTAAAAGTAAACAGTAGCAATAGTTAAAGCAATACTAATCAAAACAACCTGGTTTCTGTGAATACACTGCTACAAGCAGTTTTATTCAGATAACTGTATAAAAATTTTGAAATAATGTGCTATTTCAAGCCATTCTTTATCCCTCGTGCAATGATGTTTACTGGGATTCAGAAATAGTGCACCCATTATTTTGAAATAACGGACAGCTTGTGTAGATGCGGGGTAGTTGTTCAGTGTAGACATATGCTAACTGACATAGTTATACTAGCAAATGCCTTAGTATGGATTCAGTTATGCTATACTAGTATTGAGATGTATGGGTGTGTACCACTTGTAGAAACACATGCTGCTTACTGGCTGTGGATGCTCTACTACTCAGATAGGAGAGATTCACATGTTACTTGGGTGGTCACTCAAGTGCTCATCTTACAGGGAATACTGAACCTCTGTATAATTGAAGGAAATATAGTGGTGGAGTTACCAGGGAGACATGCTGCAGGGCTTGCAGGTTTACTTTCATATGTAGTCTCCCTAAATACTGAACCATCCATATCAGATTCCCAGACTGCAGGATTAAGCTGCACTTGTGTAAATTTAGACTTGCAGTGGTGTATTCACAGTTGTGTTTGTTCTAACTTAAGTATTTTTATGGTCCCCTTCATTGTAGTTATTCTCACAACACTCTTGGAAAGTATTTACAGATAGGGTATTGAGGCATAGAGAGAAGTAGTATTGCCTGCACCCTCACAAGAAGTTTGTGGTGGAGTAGGAACTTGACCTTAGATTTCCCCTTTCTCAGGCTATTATTGCTTGATTAGCTTCCAGCAATATTACAAATAATATTCATGTTTTCTTTCCTTTCTTGCTGGAAGACTGAGTGCTATTAGGGGCCAGGTTTGTATACATGAGGAAAACTAAAAACAACTATATCAACAATTTTCCCAGTGTAGACAAGCCTCAGTTTACATCCAATTGGCTCAAGCTTTGTTTACTCTGATTTTGATGCTTATTCAAGTAGACTTGACAGGGTTAGGTATTAGTAAATCAATTTCCCTCCACCAAAAAAAAAAAACAATTTTAATGTTTACTTCCATCATGTTTATGTATAATAGGGCTATAATAACAATTAAAAAAATTAATTGCGCGATTAAAAAATGGAATCACGTGCACTGCCCCTTTGAAATGCTGTGGTGGCATTTCAAAAGGGCAGTGCTGCGGAAGCTCGGGATCAGCTGGAGTCCTCAGCTGACCCCAGGCTCAGTGCAGCGCTGCCCCTTTGAAGCATCGCAGCAGCGCTTCAAAGGGGCAGCATAATGCGGCGCCAGGGATCAGTTGGGGACTCCAGTGGATCTCGGGCTCCTAATGCGCTGCTCCCTTGAAGCACAAAAATTAATGTGTTAATCCTTTCCTGCGTTAATTGCAGGTGTTAATGCACATCAATTGACAGCCCTAATAATGATAAACATAAGAATGGCCATTCTGGGTTGGACCAAAGATAGTGGCCAATGCCAGGTGCCCCAGTGGGAATGAACAGAACAGATAATCAAGCGATCCATTCCAAGCTTCTGAAAACAAGGGCAGCCATTGCTGCCCATACTGGCTAATGGCAATTGAAGCACCTATCCTCCTTAAAGGAATTACATTGTTGTAGGTTAATAAGCTAAAATGAAAGGGAGGTTAAGGACAAGATGACTGGATTCAAGCATTGTTGCTAACTTTATTTTCTGTTAATGTCCTTCTTCACAGTGTAGAATGGATTGAACTCACTGTTTAATTGTACTAATCTCTCTTTCTTCTTTAGTGGAAAGTAGACCCAACCGTACAAAAGGAAGAAGTTTTATTGGCCAAAAGGCTGAAAATAATGCTTCTGGAAAGTCCTATGATGTGAACGACTTTGCCGCACAAATCCTTACTGGAAAACTGACTACAGTTTTCCTTCCTATAGTCTATATCGCAGTGTTTCTGATTGGTTTACCAAGCAATGCCATGGCTTTATGGGTCTTTTTCTTCAGAACAAAAAAGAAACATCCAGCTGTGATTTATATGGCTAACCTGGCACTAGCAGATCTTCTGTTTGTCATCTGGTTCCCTCTCAAGATTTCATATCATATAAATGGCAACAACTGGATCTATGGTGAAGGACTTTGTAAAGTACTTGTTGGATTTTTTTATGGAAATATGTACTGCTCCATACTTTTTATTACTTGTCTCAGTGTGCAAAGGTACTGGGTCATAGTGAACCCCATAGTACATACAAGAAAGAAGTCTGAAATAGCAATAGCAGTTTCAGTTGCAATATGGATTCTGATTTTGCTGAGTACCATTCCATTGTATCTTGTTGATCAAACGGCATATATTTCAAATCTTAATATCACTACTTGTCATGATGTGTTGCCCCAGAATGTATTGGCTCATGACATGTTTAATTATTTCCTTTCTCTAGCAATTGGAGTCTTCTTATTTCCAGCTGTTCTCACTGTTGTTGCCTATGTACTAATGTTTAAGACTCTGAATGCTTCCAATTTAGAAGTAAATGTGGGAAAGAAACGGAAAAGAGCAAACAAGCTCATTATTACAGTACTATCCATATATCTTATCTGTTTTACACCTAGTAATATTCTACTTGTAGTGCACTATGCACTGATCAGGAGCTATGGCCAAAGTAATGTATATGCTTTGTATATAATAGCGTTGTGTCTTTGCACTCTGAACAGTGGCATTGATCCTTTCATCTATTACTTTGTTTCAAAAGATTTTAGAAACAACCTTAAAAATGCTCTCCTTTGCCGAAGTGTACGAACTGTGAAGAGGATGCAAGTCTCTCATTCATCAAGTAGACACCCTAAGAAATCTAACTCTTATTTTTCCAGTTCAAACACAACTAACACAACTTACTAAATTTTCACTTGTATCAGAAAAATGAACATTTATTAATATAGCAGTGAGCCTACTGTGCACAGCATGAATCTCTTGTAAAAATAAGCCCATATGAAGGAACTGTCTGTTGGATTCACACTGGAACTTTAATTTCAAAACTGGCAATTGAACTCTATGAATTCCACTTGGGAATATTGAATGGCATGGAAAAACCAGATGCATCCTGAGTTTCAGATACACTTTTTTTAAGATCTCTAAATGGCTGAAAACTACTGTAAAGCATTACAGTAATGTGATTGTGCCTTCAACTTAATCACCCCTGTGTTTAACTCTAAGTTAATGAAGGATGCTTTATTTTTATTCCTTGGATTTTATTATGTACTATTTTTATATACTATAAACAGTTTATCTTGTTTCTTTAGGGTCTTGCCCTTAGTAAATACTTTAATATTTATGAAGTTAACGAGGGCAAAGAAGCCTCAAGAGGTCAGTTTCTTATGTGGAGTAGATTCATCTTGTCTGTCAGACTTTCCTGTTGCAATAATGAAACTGGGAAACCTGCAAAGATTATACTGATGAGATAGGAAACTGACTGTTATCAGCTCGCACTGAAATAAATTAGCCTGTTCTTTGGTAGAAATAGTATACTGTATTTGTAGAATTATGTCCTATAGCTGTTTCACTTTTACACACTACTTCATTTGTATTAATATATATATATATATATATAATGTAAATTAAGTCTTTTTTATAACATACTGTTTGGAAGTCACTTGTGTTCTTATTAAATACTTTCATATGTCAGTGATCTGATTTGCATTACCAGATTTTAAGTTAAAGGCTTTTATTCCTAAGTACAAATATAGAGTACTGCAGTAGGATGTAAAAATGCAGTGAATTTAGCCAATGCCATAATTCATTACTGCAAACATTTATTGATAGGCTGTTCCTCTCACCTAAACACATACCTTCCATTTATTACTATATAAGAGAGTTTCTGTCTGTTCAGGAACTCCTCTTAAACAGTAATAGCTAAGAACACCAAATTTGGCAAACAGCTTCCGCGTGTAACTTGAAGCAAGGTAAGGGTTTGGTTGTACCAGAAAAATGGGATGTCTGGAGTGGGATTGCTTCTCATAAAACTATACAGAAGAGAGACAGAATCACCATGCAGGTGAAAAGGACTGGCTTGGGATGCTCCTTTATGCCTATGCCAGACACCCTTTAAGGAGAGAAGGAGGGGCAGACACATGATTCATACAGGAACATTGCTGACTGTTCCCCTTTTTTGTCAGGGAGTGAGGGGAAAGTGCACAGTTTGCTGCATTCCTCACTCTTGCTGGAAAGGCCCAGGAGCCAGGTATAACTGAACTTGCCATAGCTGGGTGACATGCACCTCTTCCCCAGGCTGTGCCCACTGGAGCTGCAGCAGCCATGGAGACATGCTTCTCACCTAACCCCAAGTTGCTGCAATGACAGAGGACTAGGGAAGTCCTCTTTCCCCAGGGCAGACAGTATACTGAATCCCTCATCCCCAACCCCACCCTAGAACAAGGATTTAAATGAAGCATGTAAATTTTATTATATTTTCCAAAAAAACAAAATTGAATGAAGGACCCACAATATGCTGGGTAAATCTTCCAGTTAAAGTAATAACTCAAAACAGCAGGCAAACAACTTGGTGTACACAAGCATACCTAGTCTCACCTTTTATATAAATACGGTTAGTGAGCTAACAGGGTTGAGGGTTTTGGTTAGACTCATCCATTATGGATCTTACATAGTATCAAATTCACTCTGAAAGCTGGTTAGTGTGTCTAGTGACTAGTCTGTGCATTGTGCCTGGAGTCTGGATTATTTTAAATTTAAACCTTTGTCCCGAAGTGCCTGAAAAGATCTATGTACTACTGCCTTTTAAGGGTTCTTAAATGCTTCTGCAATATACCAGTGGACCAGAATTCCATTCTGCTAGGTTCTGGCTAATCAGAGGGAGGGATAGCTCAGTGGTTTGAGATTTGGCCTGCTAAACCAAGGGTGTGAGTTCAATCCTTGAGGGGGGCCACTTAAGGATCTGGGGCAAATCTGTCAGGAATGGTACTTGGTCCTGCTGTGAGGGCAGGGGACTGGACTCTGTATCTCCATATTATTATAAGATGCCCGACGGTTTATACTAGATAACTACTGGATACAGATAAAAGGAGAACCATAGAACACCTTTGTTTCTCATGATAGGATGAGGGTCTTAGCAAACTAACTCGTAGCCATATGGGTCAGTGACTGGCTGCAACAGTTGTCTCAAACATTTCAAGCTCAGTCCCTCCCATTTACTCCTGTCTATGTTCCCCTGCCCCCCAGGGATAGAGTGGGGCTGTATCTCTAGAAGGGATAGGTGGTGATGGATACTGGGGCTAGGTGCTGGTATGGAGCAGCAGCTGGGCTGTAGTTAAGTGCAGGGAGCTGAGGCTGGGTGATTGTTCCTGCCCTGCCCTCTGTGGGGGCTGCACCTGCCATGTTGCCCCCAGTTTTCTTGGTCTCCTGCTACAGGGACATGCTCCACCATTTGACTACCTCTGTTTTACAATATGTGCAAACTTCATTTTTGAAAAGTCAAATAGTCTGAGGCTATGGCTACACTGCCCTGTTTTTTTTTTGTTTTTTTGTTTTTTTTGCAGAAGAGGATACAAATCTTGCTCTTGTTTGCATATCTTCTGATTATTTTTGCAGAAGTTTTGCTGCTAAAAAGCCCCATGTAGATGGGGCCATTTGTCAGAAAAATCCCCTTTTGCTCAAGATTTTTGAGGTACCTAACTCAAACCACCCTCCTCCCCCATTTTAGAGCTCTGGTTTATCTTGCTCTGTGCATTATTATCCTTCTGAGTGTGTCTTTCCTGCAGAGCTAGCCTAAACTAATGTAGCGTAGGTGTAGAGCATGTCCTGTGTGAATCGACTTTGTGCCAGATCCCTTAACAGAATCCCCAATGGTGCTGTGTGGTGGGATAGATTTTGTGTAGAATATCCCATTGTTCCATTTGGTGTATTAAATTGGGTCATGCTGATGAATTCTGTAGTGGACTTATGATGCTTCTTGGGGAGGGGGATAGCTGGGGTTGAGATACCTCCCTACCACTGCTTTTACAGTGAGGAAGTATTGTCTGCCCCTGTTGAAGATCACCTCCCCAGCACCACTGGCCATGGGCAACACAAGCGCTTCCCTCTAGGCCTCAGAGTCTCTGTGGTTTCTTCATAGGTGAGTGATAGGCACATAAGCCCTGACCGTGGAGTGAGAGTGGCAGCAGACCCGGGGGAAATGATGGTTGGAGGGATGACCAGAGACAGACATGGGCCAAAGCCTGACCCTAGGAAGGTGGGGAGCTCACTGGCTGTGTATACCTAAAGTGCTGTGTCCTATATTTCCAAATCCTCCTGGTAGCCCTAACAACCAACAAGGTGGTGCATCCAGGAGCACAGAGTGGGAAGGACTGCTGCTTTGCCATCTCCTACAATGACAGTCCAGGAGGCTGTTGCCACAAGACAAGCCCCCTGGTGACCTCATGGACTCACAACAGACGTCTTTGAGAAATGCTGCCTTAGCAATCAGTTTTACCTCAGGTCACTCCTCTATTTAACTCTCTGGCTTCATCTAAACTACACCCCTCTGTCAGCAGTGGGATGTAAATTAGTTTATCAAAAGTGCAAATGAATCTGGGATTTAAATATCTTGCACTTCATTTTCATAATGGCCCCGAAAACGGGGCTTTTTGAAAAAAAGGCAGTTTAGGCGGGGCATTTTCGAGAGAAATGCCCTGTTTCAAAAGATCCTGTACTCCTCAAAAAATGGGAGGTATGGGAAAATGAGTTAGGCAGTGGTCTCCAACCTTTTTACACCCAAGATCATTTTTTAAATGACAGACCAAGCCAAGATCTACCGCCCCGCCCCTTCCTTGAAGCCCCGCCCTCTCTATTCTCCTCTCCATCACTTGCTATCCCCAATCCTTATACTGCTACTTTTAAAAAAAATTCCCACCATTTCTCGCAGCTATTCACCTGTCCTGTTGCTCGGTGAGTAGCTGCTCCTCAAATGAGGAAATCTAATGTAAATGTACTGCGCAGGCGTGCAGTTCAGAGAGGGCTCAAGAGCTACATTCTTCTCCTCCCCCTGCTGTTTGTTGCTTCCTGTTGTAGATGGTAAAAGCTCTCAATTTGCTCAGTAGGCAAATTCAGGCATACAATACACAAATGGCCAGACAGTGAGGTGGAATTCATTTACTTCCTGCCTAACAAGAACACTTCTGAGGGATGTCACCTGCCTTAACTCCAAGACTCTAAGAGCATTATTTCAGTATAGCTCCTTAATATCTATTTCACAATAATTAGGATGACCAGTGGGCTAGTGAGTCTCAGCAGAGATCCCTCATGCTGCCCTTAGTGAATTATTGTGTAGTTTATTGAGGAATCTGTGCAGTGTCTGCCCTCTACAAATGGCAGTAAGTGGTCCCTCAGTCACAATGCTCTTTCATGTAGTATAAAGCTTCTGTCTGGAAAGGTCATGAGACCGATATTTACTGTAAATAACTTCCAAGTGCAATTACTCATTTCTAATGCAGACTGAGCTAAAGAAGAAAACAACAGCATGTGTAAGAAATACTTTTCATGAGAATGTTCTCTAAGGAACTCAGTCTGTAAAACAATAACTCATCCTGTCCACTAAACACAAAAATGTTTTGGGTATGTTTCCCCGCATTATGGGTATTGTTGATATCATAGCTTTACCAGAAGACTAATGTCAGCTTCTGACCAATTGGCAGCAGGTCAGGGGAAACTCTTGGACTGCATCTTCAGTAAAGTGCTGTTGAAGCACAGAAAAATTGTAGCAGGCAAATGTGGGGGAACAATGCTGAGCCAGTGGAGGTGACTTTGGACTGGTCTATGCTAAAAAGTTAAGCTCATTCACCTATGTTGCTCAGGTATGGGGAAAAAACACAGCCCTGACCGATAAAGTTAAGCCAATATAACCCCCAGTACAAGCATTAGGTTGATGGAAGAATTCTACCCTTGACCTTATTATTGCCTTTTGGTGAGGTGGATTACTATGCAGTTGGGAGAATCCCTTCCTTCACTGTGGACAGTGGCTACACAGAAGTGCTACAAAGCAGAGCTGTAGCATTTAAGTGTAGACAAATCTGTACAGTGTGGAAGAAGGGAGAGGGTAAATAAAAAGCTGCAGCCCAGCTCCAGTCAAAACAACCATAGGTGGCCAGTGACTCTGCCACTGGGGGAGGCTAGCCCCCTGGTTCCTCCCCTGGTACCATAGGCTCCATCCCTCCCTCTTCCACTGTCCTCTTCCACAGAAGCTAAGAGCACCCCCATCGCAACCCCTAGCCCCAGCCTGGCTCTGGGCAGTACCACTGCTGCACCCTCAGTCCCAGAGCACCAGGCAGCGTAGTCTGAGTGCTAGGTAGGCAACACAAACCCAACACCAGCCACCTGGGCCAAGGTAGAGTGTCACTGTTAGGAACTGCAGGAGAGGGCCTGGGGGCAGAGCAGAGAAGGGGCCAGACCTGGCTATCTGGGGAGGCACAGCCTCCTCCAGCCTAAGATAACCATGGCCCATAAATGCAACCAAGGCTTTGCTTACAGTAAGCATGCAAGCTGAAGTAGGGATCTTGCCAGTCCTGGCTAAAACATAACCTGAGTTCAAGCCTACACTCTTAGCTGCACCTTCAGACCAAGGCTCTGATCTAAAGCCCTGGGTGTAGAGGTTTTTGTGTGTGGATAGAAGGGA